AACGCAACCATGAATATCCACTGAAAATCTCGGCAAAGATTGAGGTCCAGGTTTATCATGCGCTGACCGAATGAAGCTATCGGAGAACCGTTGGCCGCACGCAAATTGTACGTAGGCTCTGAGTGATTGTCGTTGGCGGTCGCTGGGATGACGCCAACTTTCGCTCCCGCGTCGATGCGGAACATGATGGAAGGACGTCGATCCTTAACGTAAACAGGCGATTTGCTTAGTTATTGTCTGATAAGTTTGTCGTGTTGGTATGCGAGCTATTCGCTTTCCCTGAAGCAGCTGGGTGGTACCTAATGCAGCGATTGACAACGTCTAACTCTTCCACTGGATTGGTGGTGAAACTAATATACTTCTTCGACGGGTTTGGTATTATCTGACTAAGAACGTGCGGGGAAAATGTTGCACTTTTTTGCCGAACGATACGTACTCGGTTCAGGCACATACCAGCAGCAATTATCGGCAGCCAAAACGGGGTCAGCATTTGACCGTAGCACACGTCGCTTTGAAGCTTTCATTGCTGCTATCCTGCGGCGAAGTAGCGCAATTTCTTTGTCTTTATGGTCAGATGTGTCTGACGACTGGAAGAAAACAGAGGATCCGGTGTTAATCGGTGAGAATACGTCACCGGAGCTAGTGGTCGTCTGCTGCGGAAAACGTTCGAACGCAGCGTCTGCCTTGATATCTAATGCTTTCCGGGATGTATCTATGCTCGTAACAGAATCCAGACTCACTCTATACAAGGTATGCGCTAGACCTCTTTTGGAATACTGCTCAATAATATTTACCGACTCCAGAAAGAGTGACAGAATAGCAATTGAGAAAGTACAACGCTCATTCACAAAGCGCCTGCTTTACCCTTCCACTCTCAACTACCGTGAGCGCTGTAAGCTCCTTCGTCTTGAACCTTTATGGTTACGAAGAATGAGACTCAACCTCACCTTCTTATTCCAGACGATAAACAACCCAAATACGAACCTTGAAGGACTTCTCCAACAAAACGAAGACTCTCGGTATCCCCTCCGCCACAGACCCTTAACCATTACCCTGCCCACAGCCCGCACTAACTTGCGCAACAACTTCTTTCTCTACAGATTCGCTCGCGTCTGGAACAGGCTACCATTACAAGTAAGGGCATCCGAGAATACTGCACAGTTCCGATCAGCCCTACATAGACACCTTGCTACCCTGCCTATATGCGAGCTCTTTAACACCAATACACCGGAGGATGAACTTTGGGAACATGGCCCACAGCATCTCTAAGTCTGAAAACCCACAAAAATTTGGAAACAGGACCTACCAAATAACCGTCCTTTACTATCTGGGACTGTCCACGTCACAAAACATAACTTAAGATCTGCGCACAGTTGCTCCATTTTCTCGCTCGCCTGTTGATTTCTTCATCGAAACTGTAGGTATCCAGTAGTGGTCAAACGTCCTAATGACTTGGCTACACCAGCCACTGATACCTCCTTTTCTAGTGCCACTATCTTTGCATAGAAGCAGCTAGTCGTCATAGGCTCCATCCAACTTCGCGGATATCCGGAGATTTCTAGGAGTTGCTCCCTTCTTACAATGTTTATCCTTGGATTGTTTGCGTCACAGCTCTGCTTGATTTCTTCATCGAAACTGTACGTATCCAGTAGTGTTCAAACGCCTCAATGACATGGCTAAAACAGACACTGATACATTCTTATTAAAAGCCACTATCTCTGCTTAGCAGCAGCTAGTCACCATGGCTTCCACTTAAATTTACAGATACCTGGAGCTAGCTCCCTTCTTAACATGTTCATTGTCTTAGGTTGTTTGCGTCACAGCTCAGCTGGTCTATGTTCCCTCCAGTAGCGCGCCGTTGTGTCGCTCGTCCTACTCGCATCAACTCCTCTTCATAGCAGCTGGACATTGTTGGCCCCATGCAGCTTGCAAGGAGCCACTCCCTGACACTACAGCCCTCATTTTCTTCTGCCGTCTGCTTTGCCAAGCTTCGCTCGCATGTTGATTCTTTCATTGTAACCGTAGGTATCCAGTAGAGATCAATCGTCTTAATGATATGGCTTCAACAGCCACTGATACATTCTTTTCTAGAGCCAATATCTCTGATTAGCAGCAGCTAGTCACCATAGCTTCCACTTAACTTTGCGGATATCCGGAGCTAGCTCCCTTCTTACAATGTTCATTCTTTTGGATTGCTTGCGTCACAGCTCAGATGGTTTGTTGACCTATTATATGCCACCGTAGGATACACTAGTAACTGAAGGCGTAATCCGAACTCTACTGCAAGGTGCCAATCCCTGGCTCTACAGCCCTCATTTTCTTCTGCCGTCTGTCTCGCCTAGCTTCGCTCGCATGTTGATTTCTTCATTGAAACCGTAGGTATCCAGTAGAGATCAATCGTCTTAATGATATGGCTTCAACAGCCACTGATACATTCTTTTCTAGAGCCAATATCTCTGATTAGCAGCAGCTAGTCACCATAGCTTCCACTTAACTTTGCGGATATCCGGAGCTAGCTCCCTTCTTACAATGTTCATTCTTTTGGATTGCTTGCGTCACAGCTCAGATGGTTTGTTGACCTATTATATGCCACCGTAGGATACACTAGTAACTGAAGGCGTAATCCGAACTCTATTGCTGGTCACTCTTCTCTCTCCTAGCGCACCGTTGTGTCGCTCGCCCTACTCGCATCAACTCTTCTTCATAGCAGCCAGTCATTGTTGGCTCCATGTAGTTTGCAAGGAGCCACTCCCTGACACTACAGCCCTTATTTTCTTCTGCCGTCTGCCTCGCCAAGCTTCGCACGCATGTTGATTCCTTCATTGTAACCGTAGGTATCAGTAGAGATCAATCGTCTTAATGATATGGCTTCAACAGCCACTGATACATTCTTTTCTAGAGCCAATATCTCTGATTAGCAGCAGCTAGTCACCATAGCTTCCACTTAACTTTGCGGATATCCGGAGCTAGCTCCCTTCTTACAATGTTCATTCTTTTGGATTGCTTGCGTCACAGCTCAGATGGTTTGTTGACCTATTATATGCCACCGTAGGATACACTAGTAACTGAAGGCGTAATCCGAACTCTATTGCTGGTCACTCTTCTCTCTCCTAGCGCACCGTTGTGTCGCTCGTCCTACTCGCATCAACTCTTCTTCATGGCAGCCAGTCATTGTTGGCTCCATGTAGCTTGCAAGGAGCCACTCCCTGACACTACAGCCCTTATTTTCTTCTGCCGTCTGCCTCGCCAAGCTTCGCACGCATGTTGATTCCTTCATTGTAACCGTAGGTATCCAGTAGAGATCAATCGTCTTAATGATATGGCTTCAACAGCCACTGATACATTCTTTTCTAGAGCCAATATCTCTGATTAGCAGCAGCTAGTCACCATAGCTTCCACTTAACTTTGCGGATATCCGGAGCTAGCTCCCTTCTTACAATGTTCATTCTTTTGGATTGCTTGCGTCACAGCTCAGATGGTTTGTTGACCTATTATATGCCACCGTAGGATACACTAGTAACTGAAGGCGTAATCCGAACTCTATTGCTGGTCACTCTTCTCTCTCCTAGCGCACCGTTGTGTCGCTCGTCCTACTCGCATCAACTCTTCTTCATAGCAGCCAGTCATTGTTGGCTCCATGTAGTTTGCAAGGAGCCACTCCCTGACACTACAGCCCTTATTTTCTTCTGCCGTCTGCCTCGCCAAGCTTCGCACGCATGTTGATTCCTTCATTGTAACCGTAGGTATCCAGTAGAGATCAATCGTCTTAATGATATGGCTTCAACAGCCACTGATACATTCTTTTCTAGAGCCAATATCTCTGATTAGCAGCAGCTAGTCACCATAGCTTCCACTTAACTTTGCGGATATCCGGAGCTAGCTCCCTTCTTACAATGTTCATTCTTTTGGATTGCTTGCGTCACAGCTCAGATGGTTTGTTGACCTATTATATGCCACCGTAGGATACACTAGTAACTGAAGGCGTAATCCGAACTCTATTGCTGGTCACTCTTCTCTCTCCTAGCGCACCGTTGTGTCGCTCGTCCTACTCGCATCAACTCTTCTTCATAGCAGCCAGTCATTGTTGGCTCCATGTAGTTTGCAAGGAGCCACTCCCTGACACTACAGCCCTCATTTTCTTCTGCCGTCTGTCTCGCCAAGCTTCGCACGCATGTTGATTCCTTCATTGTAACCGTAGGTATCCAGTAGAGATCAATCGTCTTAATGATATGGCTTCAACAGCGACTGACATATTCTTTTCTAGAGCTAATATCTCTACCTAGCAACAGCTTGTCACCGTAGCTTCCACTTAACTTTGCGGATATCCGGAGCTAGCTCCCTTCTTGCAATGTTCATTCTTTTGGATTGCTTGCGTCACAGCTCTGCTGGTCTGTTGACCTAGCACCTGAACTGTCACTTACCTTCATTGGCCTGTTGATACACTCAGCGACCCTATAGGCATACGCTAGTGACCAAGCGTCTGACTGGAATGGCTACATCCGGCCACTTAGTCTCTTCTATCGCCACCTGTCGGACGTCGTATATTCGGAATTTCTGTTCAGAAATAGATAGTGGCCATTGGCTCCATGCATATGCGATAATTTAATGCTTGTTAGGAGCCACTCCGTATCTCAATATCCTTTATTCCTCTAGAATTTCTGCATCCAATCCTTCCTCTGCCCTGCCACCAATTAATCTTTAGGACTCTCACGGCAACCTATTTATTTTCGCTTATTACGCGCTCCCTCTCGGATTACGTCAACTACTTGCTGTTCATAAACCTGACAATCACTACCATTATTCTAACTCTCTTTGCTCTATCCCTACGCAATTATTGGCTCCTACTAAACGGATACTTCGTACTTTACTTACTTGTACAACGATCTTGTCTCTAGGCAGGCGTTAGCAATCCACCTATACGGCTAATGATTCCGGAGGATATTCAAAAGACATTTTCAGCATAATTATTGTTGCACAGTGTACATGCTTTTGTCTCAAGCACAAGTGTTGTAACTTAAGATATTAACAATGTTCAACTCCATGCCTGTTCTTGCGGTCTTCTCTCGGCTGTCCCTCACTTTCCCTTTTCTCTGAGGTCCGGGAATTCTTGGAGATCTGGGATTGGACTGAGGAACAGTTTTGGCCCAAGACGGACGCAACAACCCACATGGACTTACCTGGAGCATGGTAGAACTCCGAAAGGACCGAACTGCAATCACCATAACCCTTGTCCAGTATGGAGAAATGGACATATCCTCATACTCCCCAAAATTATACATCTGTAAAACCTGGACAGCGGAGAAGTTGAACTTTTGCTCACCTGGACATACAATAAGATGAATAATCACGAGGTCCCTCTCCTCCACCGATCTCAAAAATAATGGCGACCCCGATCAAATTACCTGTCCAACTAGCAGAGGAAATTGGAAGCCATTACTCTGCGAAAATCCGAAGGTAAAACCAGTCGTCAAGCGGCTTTGCCAGTTCAACATTAATGTTCAAAATACTTTACGGCAGTGTTGCAGGACGTGGTGGGTTTTCGCCTGGCAAGCGTTCTCCCTATAAAAAGCCACAAATGTCTGTTTAACAACACTGCGACGTGGCGGATGTGACTCGCCACTGAATAAAGTCACAGCCCACAACTACAAACTGGCAAGTCGACTAGACTAACATATCAACTCTTCCCGACTCTGTTTCAACTACACACGCTTGAACCCAATGTATCGTCGTGATACACGTCGGTTTTTAAACCTTGATCATGCCTGCGTTGGTGTGTCTCTATGAAACTGAGAATAAATTATTTATTTATTTATAAGCATGGACAGCAATACCGGCAATGACTCTGAGAGACGTGCAAACCACAGCTCCATTATCCCTTCTTCGCTCAAGTCTAAGGGACCACCGACGCGCTGAAATTCGTGGAGAAACGCCGACGGCTCGCGATCTTTAAGCTTGAGACCATTGAGCTGTTCAAATCAAGCTTATGCGCTTGGTTGTAGCTCTTTTAAAGTCGCTTGCTTCATTGTTTCATGTTTGCCTCATTTGATGGGCAGAGTAGAATGTCCTCAACCAGCGTCACAATCGAAGAAGGAAGGTGTGGGAAGAGCTGATTGTACCTCGAACGGTCCGCCGAAATGCCCTTATTTGCTAGTCCGATCTCGAATATCTTAAACCAAACCTCCGGGCTGTGTTCCATGCAACTTGGAACAGCCAAAGTAAGCGTGGTTGTGCTGTGAAACGACTCAGATGCCACTCTCGAAATGAGTCGAAAAGATAAAAGATGAACAAAAATGCGATAAAAGTACTAAACTTACGCAAGAAACAAATGAACACGGGGCCGTTTGATTGCACTATGAGAAAACTTTGTTGCTTGAGGACGTTCCGTGGTACAAATGGTACATAGCAACGTCGTTACCAAGCGACGTTGCCATGGAGGAGGATTGCGCAAATAGCTGGAAGTAGCTGGAACGTTTGGAGGGAATTGGACTGTGTGTGAATTGTGATACCATAGAAATGGTTACGGGTAAGGGTGCATATGTATGATGTTTGTTTTATTATTTCGGTGGCCATACTTGTTTTTCTGCTACCGCTATGCTTGTGGATGATAGTGAGCTGTTCAGGTCTTTGGCTATGGGGAAGTATGAAAGTGTTGAAGACATTGAGGAGCATGTGGGACGTTTTCAGATTGAAACGGCGACTTGTTTTTCCTGAGTTTCCTCCGTGTCTGCTGCGGCGTACAAGCGTGGAAGGCGGAAGCAGTTGCCGGATGCGGATGGTTACGGTTACATCCTGTACCGTTGCGTCCATTGTCAACGTTCTGGATCGCGTGGCAAGCGGTGAGTTAATATTTATGCAACACGTAAACTAATGCATGTAGATACAAATCGTACAATTGCAAGGCGCGATTCTCGGTGGTTATGAAGGAGGGTAAATATGTCGTGGGAAGTTACTTTATGATCCATAGTCATGATTTCCACCTGGGTATCCCCTGGCTGTATGCATGCAACCGTCGGCTGTCACCGCGACAGGCGAAAGAAGTGCTGCGATTGATGGGCAGTTTTCACAGCCCGCCGGATTAGAGACACTTCATCTATCAGGAATCCGGCAAACGTGTAACCCGCTTGGACCTGAGTAATCTGCGCATTCGTCATCATAATAGAACGTCATGTGAATTGTCGGAGGTGGCAACGATGTTGGAAGGTCACGATGTTTGCCGATTGGTGTCGGATGGTAGCCAGATTCGGTATGTATTCTTCTCGACATCTGTTGCCCATGCAATGGTTAAGCGTTATGGCGAGGTGTTATTGTGCGATGCGACACACCAGTTAAATTATTGTGGATACATATTTTGGCATTGCTTGTTCGTGGTCGTGGCAGGTTTAGGGATTGCTTTTTTCTACACCCTATTACCGAATGAGTCGTCTTCCAGCTATGGGCAAGCGGTGGAGGCGATGCGGGAGATGGTTCCTAGCAGCATACGTTGCCGAACGGTGATGATGGATAAGTGTGTTGCTCAGTTGCGGGGGTTTCCACGTTTCTATCCCAAACCGAAGATCGTGTTTTGCCGTTACCATGTTAAAGTAGACAGGAATCGACGTTGCGGTCGCATACGTGGGATATCTGTTGCTCGCGGAAGCCAACTACGCGCGTGGCTGCATAACCTGATGTATACTCGTGATTCGTTGGCATTTGAAATAATATTGAACGCGGTGCGACTTTGTAATCCGGAATGCTACCGGTATTTGTGCGCAAAGTGGCTCCAACACGCTAACTCTTGGGCGGCACACAGACCAAGAGATGCTGCGCTTTTTGGGTGCCATACGACGAACTGGGTGGAGAATGAGAACAAGCATCTGAAGGAGTATTTGTATGAGAGATCCTCTTTGCTCACTCTCTTCACCTGCGTCGTTGATAGTATACGCAGTTTCGTGCACGAACGAAACAGCATAAAAGCTAGGGGTTGCATAAGTTCTGTTGCTATTCCATCGGAGGTGTCCTTAGTGGCCTCGGTTTTTACACAGGTTAGCGATCTAGCAGGGAATGTCTTCATAGCCCATTTTCGGGACTCCACATTTCAGGGTTGTCGGTCTACTGGGCCTCATTGGTTAGTTACCTGTCCTCGTTCGAAAGTACGTCGGGTATACATAACACGCGGCAGTGATTGCGATTGCGAGTTCAAGTCGGCAGTGGCGGCTACCATGTGTTCACATCTGTTATGTGGCGGGGCTTCACGGTCATTCGGCGGAGGACATACTACAAGCATGTCGGTGGATTGCACCCAAGCAACCTCTCGCAGGTATTTCAGACTGTGTTCCAGTGGGTGGCGGTTGGCAGATTCCAGATCGTCAGGCCGCGGACAGCAATGCGATTGTAAGCCGTACCATAAAATGTCTCAAGACACAGGAGGTGATGTCATACATCAGCACGCAATTGTGCAGCTACGGATCCGAGAACTTCTCGGGTGCTTTGAACCACTTGAAAATGTTTACGTTGCTGATGTCTAAGGAAGGCAGTTTTCAGTTGTGTGGTCGCACTTCTAAGTGCCCTGTTCCCCTTCTAATGGATACGGAGGCTAACCTCAGGATGTTTTGTGGCTTACTAACCCCGGGAACGTCGAATGATGGCACCGCGGTCGCGGTAGCGACGGCGTCGGGAGTCGATGTGCCACACCCCGTGAAAGCAACACATGTGAATGCTGTCCGCTCCGTAATTTCAACGCAAACGCTGGTTCCATCCACATCCGCAACGGGGTCCAGGAAGCGTAAACAACCCCGTAAGTGCCGCGTGATGGAGGTGAGCCCCAGTATGAGTGTTCTAAGGAGCAAAGATTTCCGGAAGCTTCACAAAACCACACCCTCCTCCTACAGGTTGCTCCTTAAACTGAAACGGGATACTCAGGGAGGCGGTTCTGAGGACTCTGTGGAGTTCGTCAGCGGGAGGATGATTTGGAAGGTCGCGGGGACGCCGTGCACTGGGTTATGTGCGATGCGTGCTCCCAATGGTACCATGCATCCTGTGCATGCTATGCCGGTAACGAGGATGTCGTTTGCTTCTCTTGCTCGTCGTAGTGTCTGTGGAACCTGCGGAAACGGCCTTGGAGGGCACCCCCTACAGGTAAGCCTCATTTACACGAGCATCCATTATGCCTCTTTTGTTATGGCAGACGGCATTGCAGTTTCCCTTAATGGAAATCCGTGTAAACGAGAAGTTAATAACGTGCCGTGAGAGCTGGTGGTGCGCTGCACTATTTCGCGCCTGTAGGTATCCTTTTCCCTCTAATGAACCATGATTCAGGTCCGCATCATCTGGCCCAACTTCCCTGCCAGGGAAGGTGTTCCAATGTACCTCGGACGTAATGTCATGCTTGCATGATACGCAGCCACAGGTGGCATTGTTTATCCGCGCTGACCTGTATTGCAGAACCACGGGATGTTCGCCTCACATTGCCGTGATACTGCACCATGCCACTGATCCCCCTCTCAGGTGATGCCTCCGCCATGTGTTGTCCCCTTGCCACATAGTCCAGGTGTCGATGTTTTTTCAACATAACTTCCTTTTAAAGCCTCAGTGATATGCGCCCCACATAGCCTTCTGACGTTACACCCACACTCATCTACCTCCCAGGTATCGCTTCTGCCATCTCATGCGTCCTTCATACATAGTCGCAGGTACAAGTTCTTTCCATGATGACTTCTGTTTCAGGGTCAAAGGGTTATGCGCCGGCCACTGCCTTCCAAAGTCGCACCGCCACTCAGCCACCTCCCACGTACCGCCTCCGCCATTTGATGCACATTCATGCGTAGTCACAGGTGCCCCTGCGTTCCAACGTAGCAGCGCCACTGAGCCTCCTCCCAGGAATCGCCTCTGCTATGTGAAACGTCATGGAAAGCTATCCACAGGTAAACTTGGTCTTCGATGAAAACTTTTTTTCCAGAGCCACAGTTATATGCCCCGCCACTAGCCTTCCGACGAACGTACCACTGAGCTTATTCCCACATATTGCCTCCACCTTGCCGTGCCATACCATTGCAGCAGATGTTTCACCAAGTTCGGCACGACAGCAGGTAACTACGTTTACGCCAATTGCTTTCCCTCCCCCGATATGGTACATACAAGCAGCTCCAAGCGTCGCTGCACCGTTATTCACCATCCGCATCAACACGGCACCTCAGCTTCACATTGCCAAGTGAGTTAACGCTTCCATGCTCCGATTTCACAGCGCAGGTTACCTCGTAGATGAAGTGCATCCGGTTGCTGCGTCCTCGGGATAGTAGGTCGC